CAGGGATGTGGGGATGACCTTGGAAACGTAGGCTTAATATATACTAAGGTTCCCAACCTAATCTATACGAAGCTTTATTTATTTTGTTTTCTTTTCCCTCATATCCTTCTTGGCCTAGTTATATATCATATATGTTCACCTGCTATTCCGAGGATACAGGGCATTTTAATGTACCCACAGGAAATCATCCAAGCCAAAGGTAAGTCACTAGTATAGAAAAGCGAAATTTTCAAAATAACGAAAGGTTGCTTGATTTCTATGCTAGGCTGTGTAGGTGAGGTGGTTAGCAAAATTACCAGAAGTGTAGCCTAACAACAGATCCTGGAGGCTTGTGTACTCGCGGGCCATGAAGTAAGGGATCAATAACATCACATCTACAAAGGGCGCAGCAAGCATAAACATCCTTGCAATATACCTTGTACAGGTTAGCTTGGCCTAGATGCCCGGCCCGATCTGGACCCACTTCACCGAAAAAGTTTGGAAGATCTAAAATCGGACAAGGCTCCGGTGAGTTCTGTATAGAGAGATGTTGGACAATCGTGATTTTGAAATACCTGTGAATAACATGATAGTTCCATGTACATGTCTCATTTGTCAATATTTTGTTAGGAGGCGTACAGCAGATATGTATGTGTACGTCGTAGACCATATTTTTGCCGAGGACGTACGAAAACACCAAATCAGGTGATCTAGCAACGGCCGAGGTCGGAGGGCGCAGAGGGGCGCCGAACCAATCAAAAGCCCCGAATTTCTTGACTCAGAGCGGTCGGACATTTTGGGTTAGGCGTTTTCTCGGAAACCCCAGAGACGAGTCACTGGCAATCTTCAGCGGTCAATTGGCACTCATTTTTCCTTACTTTTTAAATCATTCTCCCCCCAGTCTTCCTGGCTTGGCTGTCATACACAATGATGCCTTTAAGACCCTCAAAAAGCGCCCTGCGCGCATTCCACCTCCAGAAGCAGCTTGCTGGACGTCGACCTTTTTCGACCTCGTTTGTGGCTTCGGCCGCTTCGCCCCACCGCTCATCTGTTCAGAAGCGTACCCAGAGCACAGCTACGGCTTCAAATCCGTTAGTTCTATCTCCGCCTATGGTTGCAACGCAATTGGAGTCTTGTCCTAATTTGTTTAATCGTCAGGGAGTCCAGACCCGTGCCCAGTCCGGCATTCAACCAGGAGCCCCATCGCAATGAGATTTCTCCCTTGCAAAATCGCCAGCTCCCCGAGCTCGATGACTCGTATGTTACCCCGATGACGGCTTGGAAACACCGAAACTGATGAGTACAAAGAATGGTTGGAATGAGTGGTGGAGAGATCTTCCACGAGATGATGCTTCGCCAGGGTGTGAAGCACATCTGTGAGTATCTCATGATTGATATTGCATAATTGGCCAATTCTAATACTTGACATATAGTCGGTTACCCCGGTGGTGCCATTCTTCCCGTTTTCGATGCTATCTACAACTCCAAGCACTTCGAGTTCCTCCTGCCCAAGCATGAACAGGGTGCTGGTCACATGGCCGAGGGTTATGCCCGTGCCTCTGGCAAGCCCGGTGTCGTTCTCGTCACTTCTGGCCCCGGTGCTACTAACGTTATCACTCCCATGCAAGATGCCATGTCCGATGGTACCCCGATGGTTGTTTTCTGTGGTCAGGTCCCCACCAGCGCTATTGGAACCGATTCCTTCCAGGAAGCCGATGTGATCGGTATCTCCCGTGCTTGCACCAAGTGGAACGTGATGGTCAAGTCCGTTGGTGAGCTGCCTCGCCGCATCCAGGAAGCTTTCGAGATCGCCACGAGTGGTCGTCCCGGTCCCGTCCTGGTTGATCTGCCCAAGGATGTCACCGCTGGCATTCTCCGCAACCCCATTCCCATGCACAGCACTATCCCTTCGCTCCCTAGCGCAGCGACCGTGGCAGCCCGTGAAATGAGCCGCAAGAAGCTCGAGAGCACCATCAGCCGTGTTGCTAACCTCGTTAACGTTGCCAAGAAGCCCGTTCTCTACGTCGGACAGGGTCTCCTTGCTCGCCCCGATGGCCCCGAGATCCTCAAGGAGTTTGCCGACAAGGCATGCATCCCGGTCACCACTACCCTGCAGGGTCTTGGTGGCTTTGATGAGTTGGATCCTAAGGCTCTCCACATGCTGGGTATGCACGGATCCGCCTACGCCAACATGGCTATGCAGGAGGCCGATCTGATCATTGCTGTTGGTGCCCGTTTCGATGACCGTGTCACTCTCAGCATCCCCAAGTTTGCGCCTCAAGCCAAGCTTGCCGCTAGTGAAGGCCGCGGTGGTATCGTGCATTTCGAGATCATGCCCAAGAACATCAACAAGGTTGTTCAGGCCAACGAGGCCGTGGAGGGTGACTGTGCCGACAACCTCCGTCTTCTTCTGCCCCATGTCAAGCCTGTTTCTGAGCGTCCCGAATGGTTCGAGCAGATCAACGACTGGAAGCAGCGCTTCCCCCTGTCACTCTACGACCGCCAGACCGAGGACGGCCCTATCAAGCCCCAGGCTATTATTGAGAAGCTTAGCGAACTCACCGCCGACCGGAAGGAAAAGACCATCATCACCACTGGTGTTGGACAGCACCAGATGTGGACTGCTCAACACTTCCGCTGGCGTCACCCTCGTACCATGATCACCTCCGGTGGTCTCGGTACCATGGGCTTCGGTCTCCCCGCCGCTCTTGGAGCCAAGGTGGCCCGTCCGGACTGCCTCGTCATCGACATCGATGGTGATGCTTCTTTCAACATGACTCTCACTGAGCTTTCCACCGCTGCTCAGTTCAACATTGGTGTCAAGGTCCTCTTGATTAACAATGAAGAGCAGGGTATGGTCACTCAATGGTAAGCTGTCGTCTCTAATCTCTTCCCAGTATATTTATCTAACTTTTTTGTTCCAGGCAAAACCTCTTCTACGAGGATCGGTACTCCCACACTCACCAGCAGAACCCCGACTTCGTTCCCCTTGCCAAGGCTATGCGCGTCGCTGCCGATAAGTGCTTCAAGCCCTCCGAACTTGAGGAGAAGCTGAAGTGGCTGATTGAGCACGATGGCCCTGCCCTCCTGGAGGTCATTACTGACCGCAAGGTGCCCGTTCTCCCCATGGTGCCTTCTGGCCGTGGTCTGCACGAGTTCTTGGTCTACGATGAAGGTATGCAACCTCCTAGCCATTGATTGACTTGAAACACCACTAACTCATACATTACAGCCAAGGATTTGGAGCGCAAGGAGCTGATGCGCGAGCGTAATGTGGACTTCCATGTCCGGAAAGAGTAGGTGACTAGCCAGTGTCACCTTGACAATCATATTTCTGTACTTTGATATCCATGGCGTTTCTTGGCTGGTTCACCAAAAGCGATTGGGGCAATATCTGTCTAAAGATAAACAACAAAATTGTTAACCAGATTGCTCTTGGAGGTCTCTTTGGCAGAGAAGTTTGGTGCTCGCGGGTTCTATACGCCTGTGGAGGGTTGCCCTTCGCCATACCCTTGAAACAACCACGGCGACTTGCATGAAACACGCGCTTCGCCATGGCCTTCGATCGATGTTGGCCTTTTCTCTTGCCAGGTTGTTCCTCTTGTATATAATCATTGACGTCTCGGGTTCCTCGATAGGGCCTGGGAAATTGATACGTGTTGGTTCCATTAAATAGGAACAGTTAGTCATTGAAAGCATTATTTTCTTGTTTTATTACGGTTCATAAGCAATTATTCGTATATTCATCATTTCAGATGGCTTTTGTCTTTGTTGGCTAGTAATAGATATAGCTCCGGCCCTCGAGAACGTGAATTCATTTATATCCTACGAGCTTTAGTCCTGCGACAATTGGGTTTTACCTGTACCCCATACAATATATAACCATTTTCAATTTGGTATTTTTATACTACCAAGGTAGTAAACATACATGTACTTGTTACTGATAGATAGCTAATTAATTAGAGATTCTAATTGATCTAATTTTAGTATAATACCTAGGTAATCACCCTGCCTTACGCGTAGTAAGCAATTTCCTAGGTAGGTACAGAGCGGATCAAGTTGTCAATTATAAGTGCATCCTATCCAACGTATATAGCTCTTTGAAAACATATGTAATCTGCCTCACTTCTACTTATATTTCGACTAACTTAGGGTACATATTTAATAATTTAACCTTCGATATCCACTACTAGGGCTTAATAGGGCTTGGATTGTGAAATATAAAGGCTAATCCTCGACGTATACTCCGTGTTCTTTATACTACTTTCACACAATTTTAGCGATATATATACGCCTGTTATCTTATTTAGATTAGGAAGGGATTGTCTTTGAGAACTTGGAACCGTGCTAAAAGAATGTTAAGAGTTTGACCTCGAGCACAGGATGGTACCTACAAAGGTAAGTACATAGACAGAAAAAAAGAGAATTGACCACTTTTAGATAGGAAGTAAAGTGATCTGCATGCTTTCTCGCTATTGCTTTGCCCCATAACTTGACAGAGCAGATCAATCAGATAGACTGTCAAAAACAAAGAGCTAATGGTAAATATGCCTAAAGGATGACAACGAAAGAAGCTTACCTGCGTACTACAGCAAACTTATGTAAATGGACGACCGCGCGTTAGCACCTGACAACTTTGAATATATACATATATACATAGCTATATTCCTTCCTCTTCACACTCTTGCTTTCGTCATACTCTTTCATACGACCCAGCAATTGCATATCTCACAGCAAACAACTATTAGAAAGCAGCTTATTGCAGTGCTTTAAACCGCCTTGACCTTCACGGATCACATTTTCTCGTGATATTACCCAGTTAGGGATATTCCTCTCGAGAATCTTCCTTCCACCAAGCACTTGACCAGGGAATGATACCAGATCATGGACCCCCAAAGGTGTGTTTTAGATCTCCCTTATTTTTCCAGTGCACTGCAAGCGATTTGAGAAACATCTGAATATATTTGGAAAATGCTCCAAGTATTTTGCGGAAGATGCTAATCGATATAACCTATTAAAGGATGTGCCGCGACTTCGCCAGAGGCAATTGCCGATGGAAGAACTGCAAATTTGCTCATGTGAGCAATGACCAAAGCCGCAGTCCAAAAATCCCAACTAGCCAGATCCAACGCCCTGAGCCCTTGCCCCGACGAGATCGTGGCTTGCCAAATCCAGAAAAAGCATTTCGAGCATGGCATGGCAGCATTCCCCTACGCGCGGCGCTCATTCGTCCTTCTTCTGGGAAGAAAACCACCATCTTCCGGAAGGCGAGGGAACTGATTGAATCTGACGCCAGTATACGAAAAGAAGTTATCCGGACATTTGCGACTGAGGACGGCTTGCGCCTCGTCTTGGACCTTGTCGAGGAGAACTTCGAAGACATGGATGCCGCAACAAGAGACCTAATTTTCAAGACTCAGGTGCTACCATTTCTAGAGACAATCTCAAATCCCGAGGTTCTCTCCTCTCTGGCACTAGAGCAGGTAGTAGGCACAATCTACAATATCTTGTTTGGAATCGACGGATCCAGAGCAGCGCGATGGCTCAATTTCATCTGTGGGGTTCTCGAAGTCGACACCACCAATGAAGGCAGTGCCATGTTACTGGAGGCATCTCTGCACACGTTTTCTCGCATTGCGGACCTAAATTCTACGGCTCCTATCCAGGACTGCCTGCATGCCGTTGCACAGAGATTTGAAACTGTGTTCACCTCGATGAATAGCAAGCATGGCATTAGCGGTAGACTTTATCAATCTAGGCTGCACCTTGATCGTCTTCTTCAGCGCATGGAGACTGGAAATTCGCTCCCAACGGGCACGCCAGAGAAGAAAGCCAAGAAAGAAAGCAATGTTGCTTTTGTCGCCAACCGTGAGAGTCCCGGGGGCAGACACAACAATGACTTTGACGACATCTGCCAGATCAGGATCATGCCTAGCTTCGAAGAAATCCGCAGCCTTAGAGGAGAGTACTTACCCATCAATAACCCACTTCAGTGGCATATTGATGGCATCGACGGATTGCTAGATCGAAACTTTCGGTTGTTGCGAGAAGACACCGTTGGCCAACTCAGAGATGCAATCCACCACGAACTAAGTCCGCGTGCCCAGCAGTCACAAGTGCGCAAGTTCGTGTATCCTAAGTCCTTGGTGGTCAATCTCGAGTTCAACTGGCTTTCGGGTCTTTACTTCGAAGTCGACTTCCCTCAGCCTGGTGCTGTAGCAAACTACACGCCCATGGCCCGAGAGATGTGGTGGCAGAACTCAAAGCGCCTACAGCCTGGTGCGCTTGTTTGCCTAATCATTCAAGAGGATGTGGTATTGTTTTGCACTGTCACACATCGTGAAATGTCACCCAGGCGTAAAAGGGATAACGTCCTCCCACAAGATCACACCCCCCAACAGAACAGGGCAGAACCAAAGACATTGTGGAAGAGCCCCACGAGAGGCTCGGTTATGTTGATGCTGGTTGATTCTCGGTATACCAACGCCCAAGTCGTTCTGGACCTTTTTAGTCCCAAGAAGCCTACTATGTCTCTGGTGGAGTTCCCAGGGGTCATTCTTCCAGCCTTTGAACCGGCGCTCCAAGCACTTCAATCAATGAAAGTGGCCCGAAACCTACCTTTCTCGGAGTTGTTTGTTCCGTGGGTCTTTGAGAATTTTAACATATCCGATATGGCCCCTCCATTATATGCTTCGCAGCCTGGCTTTGCGTTCAACCTCCGCTGCCTCATGAAGGATGACACTAATTTCTTCGTCCGCGTTAATCAACCATCTGACGTGAAATATGTACAAGATCATTCAACCCTGGATGGCGCACAGGCTCATGCATTGATCAGTTGTTTGAAGCGCAAGCTTGGTTTGATACAAGGGCCACCTGGTACCGGCAAGAGCTACACTGGTGTGGCTCTTGTCAAAGTTTTACTGACAAATAAAGAGGCAGCTAGAGGAAAGTTAGGCCCCATATTATGTGTTACATATACCAATCATGCTCTTGACCAACTTCTTGAGGCTTTACTGGACAACAATGTGACATCGCAAATCGTTCGTATTGGATCCCAGTCCAAGTCGGAGAGGCTGGAAAGATTCAACCTTCAGACTGTCGCCAAAGATACAGCAAGAACAAAGATGGAGAAGAAAGAAAGATGGTACACAGCCGAGAGACTCTCATTGTGTGAGGATGACTTTCGCGCCCTTGATCTGAAAAAGGAAGTTCCCATTGCTCGTCTCAAGTCCTATATCCAGCGAACAGATCCCCAGCACCACGATCAGCTGTTTTCATTGGTTCAGGCAGATAGTTTATTGGGAGTAAAAACCAACAGCCCCCAGACAGCACTCAATTCCTGGCTTGATTCAGCACCTGAGGACAGTACTCGTGCACGGCCTGTGGGCGAACTCATGGAAACCAGTGTTTTTGAGATGTCTCGAACAGAACGACAGCATATTTACAACCGCTGGGTTCGTGATTGCCGGGCAGAATTGGACGAAAGCGTTAGGCAAATAATCTCGTCTCACAGGGCCGCCAAACAGGGGTACGATAGCGTCCAGGATGAGATGCACCTTCGCTGCCTGTCCCAAGCAGACGTCATCGGCGCCACTACAGCAGGACTTGCTCGCAGACTGGATATGTTTCGGAGGCTTCCTTGCAAGTTCATGCTATGCGAGGAGGCTGGTGAAGTTCTTGAATCACATCTCCTTACGGCGTTTATACCTTCTGTTGAGCATGCAATCCTCATTGGTGATCAGCAACAACTTCGCCCTCAAGTCCAAAATTACGATCTTTCTAGCGAGAATCCTCGGGGTGGTGCGCAATACTCACTCGATATCTCCCTGTTTGAAAGACTGGTGAGCTCAAACAAAAGCCCCATGGATTGTGGAGCTCCTTTCAGCACGTTGGAAACACAGCGACGAATGCATCCATCCATCTCTCAATTGATCCGTGAAACCCTGTATCCAAAGTTGAAGGATGCTCCATCTGTCTCGGAGTATCCGGAGATTGCGGGGATGCGGAAAAGATTATTCTGGTTGGATCACCGACAGCGAGAGGGAGGATCTGATGCCGATGCCATGTCGACCTCTCATTGGAACATTTATGAGGTCGATATGACCGTTTCACTTGTCAATCATCTTATTCAACAAGGTGAATACAAACACGGAGACATCGCGGTACTGACTCCATATCTAGGCCAACTCTACCGACTACGAAAGAGGCTCGATGAACTCTTTGCCATCGTAGTAGGGGACCGCGATCGAGATGATCTCAATCAAGCGGGCTATGCAGACTATGAGGCCAAGGCCAAGCCAAAGATCAAAGCAGCCTTGTCACAGACTCTTCGGGTGGCCACGGTAGACAATTTCCAAGGCGAAGAAGCTAAGGTTGTTGTGATATCTCTAGTCCGAAGTAATCCCAGCAACCAATGTGGCTTTCTACGCACTTCCAATCGGATCAATGTTCTCTTGACGCGAGCACAACATGGCATGTATATCATCGGCAATTCCGAGACCTCGATCCATGTTCCCATGTGGGCTCAAGTCGTAAAGATTTTGAAGCGAAATCAGAATATCGGAAAGGCCCTGGAGCTGCAATGTCCGCGTCACCCAGATACACCCATTGCGGTTTCGATGCCAGAAGATTTTCCAAAGTTCTCTCCCGAAGGAGGTTGCAGCCTGCGCTGTATCAACCGCCTAAACTGTGGACATGCCTGCGCTCAGAAGTGCCACTCGGACCTTCTTCACAACGCTGTCTTTTGCCTAGAGCGTTGCCCTCGACCATTTAGTGGCTGTAATCATTCATGCCCTAAGCGATGCGGGGACCCTTGTCCGGAAAAGTGCATGGTCAACGTATATCAAAAGAACAGAACGCTCCCATGCGGTCATCTAATGCCAAACCTTCCTTGTTGGCAAAATCAAAATATCTCAACAGTTCGCTGTCTGATGCGTGTGGACAAGACGATCCCGGGCTGCAATCATACCATTTCACTTCCATGTCACATCGATGTGGAATCAAAGGATTATCGCTGCCTAGCTCAATGCCGCACCCCCCTGCCTTGTGGACACATGTGCAAGAGGATGTGTTATCGATGCGTCACTAGAGGACCTGAGAACATCCCAGCAAATCATGGAAATTGCGAGCAACGGTGTGACCGGAACCATTCTACATGCGCTCATACCTGTAGCGTTCCCTGCCACGGCGAGGAGCCATGCTCTCCATGCAAAGCTCCTTGCGAAGTGCACTGCGGCCATTCCAAGTGCCCACGAATGTGCTACGATCCGTGTACTCCTTGCGCAGAAGAAAAATGTCTTTCAGCGTGCCCTCATAGCGTCTGCTCGATGCCGTGCGCAGCCCCCTGTGATCATGTTCCATGTTCCAAGCGATGCGACAAGAAGCTGAATTGCGGGCATCAGTGCCCGTCAGTATGTGGAGAAAAATGTCCGTCGTCCTCCTTCTGTCAAACCTGCGGAAATGAGGACACCCGAAACCATCAAGTCGATTTCATTCTAGGCCAAACGTACAAAGAAATCGACCCGGATGAAACCCCATGCGTGTTCCCCAAATGTGGGCATTTCTTGACTATTGAAAGCATGGATGCGCAAATGGACATGGCTAGCTATTACGAGGTTGATGACAGTGGCAAGCCCGTGTCCATCTCGGTATCATTGATGCCGTTCTCTATTCAAGACATCAAAACATGCGCCACGTGTCGTGGCCCATTGAGAGATGTCGCCCGATATGGCCGGCTGATTCGCCGAGCTATCCTCGATGAGTCGACGAAAAAATTGATCATCTTGCTCAACCGGGAATATGTCCCTCTTGCAACAGAACTTCCCCAGCTTGTCCGTGAATTGCATGAAACCAAAGGTCAAAGAAAGGTTCTTTGGCCAGCGGTGATTGAGATATCCGGCTCGCGAAACCATCAAATCCAGGCCATAGGAGAAATCGTCCAGAACACAAATCCAGATCGGTGGAATTCAATCCTTGACCTACGAAAGCGCGTTGATCTCTATCGGCACCGTGTGAAACCCGAGGAGCAACCATTTGAAAGAGTTCGGAAGATGATCGAAAATGCTCGGCAACGCCAAAAAATCTCAACCAATCCTGATCATGTCGATAATGTGCTACAGACAAAAGGCTTTCTCCAGGGTACCGCCCTCTTAATCCGCCTAGACATTGCTTTGCTCGTCGACCTTCTGAGTCTCGTTTCCCAAGGACGGCCAAGTGATGTTATACCTCGTTTCAAGCTTGATCTGCAGAATATCAAGGATGATTGCCAGACCCTCATCCACCAAGCCGTCGCTCATCAACGACTTCTACAGCAGGTAGAAGGTCATATTTTCCTAGCACAGCTCTATGCCCTCGAACGAGCACATTGCTTGACATCAGAGAAGAGGAACATGGTCTTGAGAAATGGCCAGGTTGCCATTCAAAAAGCTCAAGGTCTTTGCGATGCGCACCCAGGCCAGACACGAGGATTGGCAGATGAAGTTCGCAGCGTTGAGAGGATGTTGCGCCGAGGCACCTTCTACACAATTATCACCAACGAGGAACGCATTGAAGTTCTTTCGGCAATGGCTCAAGAGTTCAGTGGAACTGGGCATTGGTACTACTGTCGCAATGGGCATCCGTTTACCATTGGCGACTGTGGATTAGCCAGGGAGACGAGTCGGTGTCCCGAGTGCGATTCCCCGGTGGGAGGCGAGCATTCTCTATTAGCAGACGGGGTTAGACATGCGGCGGACTGGGATCTGGATAGGGAGAGATTGAATCTTTAGGGGAGAGAGAGGTGGCTGATTCTGTTGCTCGTTACGTTCATGCTTTGTGATTAGGCAACCTAATTTGTTGCCGTATGGCAGGTATTAAGGACACATTTTTTGGGGGCTTTTGCTCAGATGGCCTCTGAAAATTCTAGAATTCTAAAATTGTAGAATTGTAGAAATATAGAAGTTAAAGCATTCGCAATATAAGAAGTGGATGTACTGGAGTTGCTATCCGCTGCCGTAAGTCCACCAGTCCACACGGGGTGACGTCTCGGGGAGTCTCGAGGTGTCACGCAGCTTATCCTCCACCCAACTTCCTTCCGCTCTTCCCCCCTCCCCCATTATTCCCACCTTGATTCTTGTCACATGAATTGATTCGCACAATCACTTTCTAGCTCATTGTTTTTGCATTGCATGTGTTCACCCTGCTCTCCCCCTAGCTTCCGCCCCTCATCCTTTCCATGATGGCTAGCCCACCACCCGTCACCGAGGACCAGAACCGCCTCCTCGAGGAGGCATTGGGGGTGGTGAGGCAGCAGTCGAATCTGATGCGCAAATGCCTAGAGACTCCTGGAAAGCTCATGGATGCGCTGAAATGCGGGTGAGCTCCCCATGAAACTCCCCAGGCAGCGACCTCGGAACGTGCGCCATGGGTTCGTATGCTAACAGCTTGAAATTACCTCCACAGATCGACTCTTGTCTCCGAACTCCGAACCCCCAGTCTCGGCCCGAAGCAGTATTATGAATTGTATATGGCCGTCTTTGATGCGTTGCGACACCTTTCTGTCTACCTAAAGGAGAACCACCCCGTCAACCACCTCGCCGACTTATACGAGCTCGTTCAGTATGCCGGCAATATCGTCCCCCGCTTGTACCTGATGATCACCGTGGGTACGGTTTACATGTCCGTCGAAGATGCGCCGGTCAAGGAGATCATGAAGGATATGATGGAGATGAGCCGCGGCGTGCAACACCCGATCCGTGGCCTGTTCTTGCGATACTACCTCTCCGGTCAAGCACGGGATTATTTGCCTTCCGGAACCGGTGATGGCCCAGAGGGTAATATGCAGGATTCGATCAACTTTGTTTTGACGAATTTCGTGGAAATGAACAAGCTCTGGGTTCGGCTTCAGCACCAGGGCCCCTCACGAGAGCGGGATAGGCGCATACAAGAACGACGCGAACTGGAGTTACTCGTTGGTAGCAACATCGTTCGCCTCAGCCAGCTGGTGGATCTTGAAGGGTACAAATCGGGTATTTTGCAAGCACTTCTTGAACAGGTTGTACAATGCCGAGATGTCCTCGCGCAAGAATATCTTCTGGAAGGTACGTGTATCTTGTTTCTTTCTCACTCGGAAAATACTCTTGCTTGGTCCATTTGCTAATTTAGTCAACAGTCATCACAAAGGTCTTCCCAGATGAGTTCCACCTACACACCCTGGACCTTCTATTGTCTGCCATTTCCAGACTTAACCCACACGTGGATATGAAGAAGATTGTCATTGGTCTTATGGACCGTTTGTCTTCTTATGCGGCAAGGGAAGCAGACTCAACAGTAGAGCCACAAGCACGGAAACAAAGCGAGGAAGAAGCTGTCACCAAGCTATTGCAAAGGCTCGAGCTTGCGAAAGAAACCAAAGCTGAAGAGCCAAAGGACGCCGGCACCGATGACCCTTCCAAGGAAAATGGTGCTGAGAACGGCGAAGCAGAAACACCCAAAGAAAGCCCTGAGCCTGCTGAACCGCCAACGGAAGAAAAGCAGGTTGAGAATGGGGACGACACTAAACCTGGTATCCCGGCAGAAATCAAGCTGTACGATATCTTCTACGATCAAGTGGTCAATTTGATCAAAACGCGTGCATTGCCGATTCAAGATACCATGGCCCTATTGGTATCACTTGTCAATCTGGCATTGAATACCTATCCGGATCGGTTAGAGTACGTCGACCAGGTCCTGGACTTTGCGACGCAAAAGACTGCAGAATACACCGATCATGCCGATTTGCATTCGGCTCCAACCCAACAACACATCCTCCACCTTCTCAATGCTCCTCTCAAATCTTACATCTCGATCTTCACAGCCTTAGCGTTGCCACATTACCTGCCACTACTGAGCTCACAATCATACCCCACAAGGAGGGCTGTTGCGGGCGAGGTTATTCGCAGTCTTTTGAAGAACAAGATCTTGGTGTCCACAACGGAAAACCTCGATCGTGTGCTCCAGGCAGCAAGAGTATTGATCAAGGAAGGCATGCAGCAGTCTGCTGGATACCCCGGGTCACAGTCCCAACGACGGGGAGGAGAAACCGATGAGACGGTAGAGGAGCAAGGGTGGCTTGCGAGACTTGTGCACTTGATTCAGGCATCGGACAATGACACCCAGCTAAAGGTATGATCAATTCACACAAATGTTGTAGCCCTATAACTAACAGTCTGTGACAGCTTCTCCAAGCAACGCGCAAGGCATTGGCCGATGGGAATGAACGAATCCGCTATACTACCCCTGCAATCATAACGGCCTCGATCAGATTGGCTCGCAAACTGAAGTCGCGCGAGCATTACGACGACAATTGGCAATCACAGTCTTCGGCTCTATACCGATTCATGCACCAGAGCATCAACAATTTATACCAGCGCGTAAATCCAGGTTGCGCGGATCTCGCACTGCGACTGTTTGTCATGTGCGGCGAGGTTGCCGACCAAACTGGATTCGAGGAAGTCAGCTATGAATTCTTCGCGCAGGCATTCACGATCTATGAAGATGCGATCAGTGACTCGCGTGCCCAGTTCCAGGCCGTCTGCATTATTTCAGGCGCCCTCCACGGGAGTCGTGGGTTCTCGAAGGAGAACTATGACACACTCATTACTAAAGCTGCACTGCACGGAAGCAAACTCCTCAAGAAGCCCGATCAATGCCGCGCGGTGTATCTCGCCAGCCACCTCTGGTGGGTAGTGGAGAACCCTCAACGCGAAGAAGATGATCCCAAAGATGTAAGTTTCGTCTCCAATTACAATGTCTTAGTATCTTTTAGCTGACGTCAACTTTGTAGCTCTACCGCGATGGCAAACGGGTCCTCGAGTGCCTCCAGCGTGCCCTCCGTGTGGCTGACGCCTGCATGGATGCCGCTGTCTCTATCGAGCTCTTTGTGGAAATCCTGAACCGCTATGTCTACTATTTCGACCAGCAAAACGAGACCGTCACTACAAAGTACTTGAACGGTCTCATCGAACTCATCCACTCCAACCTGCAGACCAATGAAGACGAAGCAAATGCTAATCTCGACGGCCCGAAGCGCCACTTCCAACGCACTTTGGAGTACATTCGCTCTCGCGAATACGAAGGCATTGTGACAGATCCACCAAAGTAATTGCCAGATGGGACCTTCAAGGAGCACTGTATGCCATGTGTCATGTGGGATTTCTGCTTCGATCCTCCTAGCAAGACTTGTTTTTTGTGCTCTACTATTTCCTTGGTCTCTTTTGTCTTTCTCTTGTTCCTGGAAGCCCACCTCTTTTCTCTTGCTGCCCCTCGGTTTTCTTTCATTCCTAGTATATACAAGTGTATCATTGTCTCCGGATAACACCATACCCTTTCAACGTGATTTGTATTGGCCATGGACAAGTTCTGTTTTTCCT